TAGACTGACTTAAACTTCGGAGGGGATAAGTCGAGTGTTCACCTGACCCCATTTTTCTGACCCTATTGTCTAGGTTTGCCAACTTGGAAGTCGCTATCTTGAACTATTGCAATAATTATCCCGTGCACAATACATTACCAAAAAATTTATATTACTTCAAAGGCACACGAGTGTTTTTTAAGTATTATCTATAATTACATGTTAAAAGAGTATAAAATAAAGTTATTACATTATAATCTTAGTAAAAATTACTTCTAAATACTAGGTAAATATTAGATCTAATTCATTTAATTAATTACTTCACTTTGTGAATACCACAACGACACGATATTTATTTTCGTGAAACCAAAAAGAATTATTAATTTTTCTTATTATATATTAAAGAACTATCAAAATATATAAATATTAAATTGGTTGAAAATAATAAAAATATTAAATATATTTTATTATAGCCGTATCTTAATCATACCCGTATTGTACTTTTTTTAAAATTTATCATATTATTATATTCATATTATATCGTATTTATATATCATACCCATATTCGTATTCGTATCTGTACTTCATACGTCGCATCCCACCAACTAAACTTCCCATTACTGTTCTCTTTCTCGTTCCAAGTCCAAACTACCACCCAAGCAATTCAAATCTAGATAGATATTTTGAATCTTCTGTTGTCCTTTTATAACATATAATTGATTTGAATATTCTTTTCTGGTTGAATACCCAATGTGTGCGTCCGGGTTCGTCAGAGTGGTGCACATGATGATTTGTATACCTGGCTACCCTATATCGGCCATTGAAATCGCGGAGAAGCTAACCCACTATTTGGGTCATCAGTAGATGGGCCTCAGGAGTTCTCGATTTCGATCCAAATCTCTCTATTCAAAACGCCTTGATAAGATGAAGTAAGTTCGATTCCTCCCATGTTCTCTGCTTTGGATTTGAGTTACAGTTTTGCAGATCACATCGCTTTTTGTAGTTTATATAGGGGTGTTTGATTGTTTTCTTTAACGTATTTTGTTTGTTGTCGAAGGCTTTTAATACTGTTTGATTGGTAGTTATGAGCAATTGTTGGAAGTTTGTAACGGCATAGGCGCTTAGTATTACATTGTTTTTTTACTCTATTTGGAGGCTGAGAAAGTGTAGTAAATGAAAAAGATATTAAAATTCTAGTATTATTTGTACATGTAGTATACGAACAAATAATAAAGGTGGGAAAACAAGAAGAAAAGCATTTCAATCGGAGTATGTATGAGCCAAATAATTTTTATTTTCAGGTCTTGGCCTTTGTTATCAAAACAATGGTGTATTCTGGCTTTAGTTTTGTTCCTTAACACCTTTAACTTAGATTGAATCAAATTTTTTTTTGCTAATGCAATAATTTTTTTGCTCTTGCTCTTGTACTTGATCAAAAAATCATCGTGTTTTCTTGTCGTTCATTTGTCTATTACTTTCTCTATTCAAGGATGTTCATTTGTATCTTGCCATAAATTTGGGTGAACTTCCAGTCGGGCCAGTTATGTTCTTGGAAATATGACTAGGTCATTACCATGTGAAGGGTTCCTGTAATTTCATAAATGTATGTTGTTGAATTCACTAGACGTCATAGCACTTGCAGTTCATCTAATGATACTTCAATAGTTTGGTGTTGTTCCAATAGAAGTCCTCCTCAATCTCCCTCTTCTAATGTTTATTATACCATGATAAAGAAAGTGGTTGCTCTTTGGTATCTCATTGACATAATTCTTCTTCATGCCTCTTTTATTTATGGTTTTGACTAAAATTTCTAAGATGTATTTGGCCCATTTTCCGTACCAACAAAACCCTTTTAAGAAGAAGGGGCAAAAAATAGTGTGAACAGTCTCGGCAAAGGTGTAGCGGACTATATGAATGAAATCACTTCTGATGTCCAAGACAGAACATGATAGGTTTCAAGTACTCTTTTTTCCCCCAGTCGAAATGAAGAAAAAAGAAAAAAAATTGCCAGTACCAATCCATTAAAAGATTCCAATAGTAGGTGCATCTGATGAGGTNGGAGGCTGAGAAAGTGTAGTAAATGAAAAAGATATTAAAATTCTAGTATTATTTGTACATGTAGTATACGAACAAATAATAAAGGTGGGAAAACAAGAAGAAAAGCATTTCAATCGGAGTATGTATGAGCCAAATAATTTTTATTTTCAGGTCTTGGCCTTTGTTATCAAAACAATGGTGTATTCTGACTTTAGTTTTGTTCCTTAACACCTTTAACTTAGATTGAATCAAATTTTTTTTTGCTAATGCAATAATTTTTTTGCTCTTGCTCTTGTACTTGATCAAAAAATCATCGTGTTTTCTTGTCGTTCATTTGTCTATTACTTTCTCTATTCAAGGATGTTCATTTGTATCTTGCCATAAATTTGGGTGAACTTCCAGTCGGGCCAGTTATGTTCTTGGAAATATGACTAGGTCATTACCATGTGAAGGGTTCCTGTAATTTCATAAATGTATGTTGTTGAATTCACTAGACGTCATAGCACTTGCAGTTCATCTAATGATACTTCAATAGTTTGGTGTTGTTCCAATAGAAGTCCTCCTCAATCTCCCTCTTCTAATGTTTATTATACCATGATAAAGAAAGTGGTTGCTCTTTGGTATCTCATTGACATAATTCTTCTTCATGCCTCTTTTATTTATGGTTTTGACTAAAATTTCTAAGATGTATTTGGCCCATTTTCCGTACCAACAAAACCCTTTTAAGAAGAAGGGGCAAAAAATAGTGTGAACAGTCTCGGCAAAGGTGTAGCGGACTATATGAATGAAATCACTTCTGATGTCCAAGACAGAACATGATAGGTTTCAAGTACTCTTTTTTCCCCCAGTCGAAATGAAGAAAAAAGAAAAAAAATTGCCAGTACCAATCCATTAAAAGATTCCAATAGTAGGTGCATCTGATGAGGTGCTGAATCAAGGATTCTCCGTTGGACAATTGGCATGAAAAAGTGATAATCAATTAACTTGGTTTTGTCATTTACTGAAGGACCAGCGATCATGTTAAATGAAGTGTTTTCTCATGCACTTGATATTTTTTATGTTAAACTTACAGCTAAATATTTCTATTAGAACCATATTTATATATTTTGCATACATTCTTTGAGGAGATGTGAATGAGATTAGCTTAGATTATAAATTGTTTTTGCTCGTGAGAATAGTTGTTAGTATCATACGATATACGATACGATATATACGATATATGTTGTTATACATGAAGAATACGATACGCATTGCTCAAGTATATTGATTTATATTGTATCATGCAATACACGATACAATATACCTGATATTCTAGACAATACATACGAGTTATCCGATATGGGACAAAATAGATAAAAAAAAATTTCTTTGAATTTTAACTAGAAAACGGCGTTTTTTCAATTGGAAGTAATTTTTTCAAATACTATGTAATAAAACGATATAGTACAACTTTAGTAATAGAAGAAGTAGACATAGTGAAAAAGTTAAGATTGAAAATTAAGAAATATTAACGAGTAAACGATTTATATATCTATGATCGATTATTAAAAATGATGGAGATATTAGAGATGATGTAACTCATATAATCAATGTCGGTTGACTTAAGTAGTGGAAAACTTTTGGTATATTATGTGATAGAAGGATATCAATAAAATTAAAATATAAGTTTTACTGAACAGTTATAAGGATAATAATGTACAGAATGTTGGCAACTAGGAAACAACATAATAACAAAATGAGTGTAGCAGAAATGAAAATGTTAAGGTGAATGTGTGAAAAAATTAGAAAAAATAGAATACGAAATGACAGTATTAGAGAAATGGTAGGGGTAGCTCCAATTGAGAATAAATTAAGATAGAATAGATTAAGATAGTTTTGTCATGTTCAATGTAGGCCGATAAAGGCACTGGTTTGAAAAAGTAATAGAATTTATCTTAATTGTAATAGAAGTAGGATAGATCTAAATTAACATTGAACGAAATAACAATAAAAGATATGAAAATATTTAACTTAAATGAGCGTATAGCACATGATATAAATGAATGGTGAAGATAGACTCATATAGTTGACCCCAAATGATGGGGACATAAAGTTTGATTTGATTTGATTTGATTTAGGTAATAAAACGATTTCGTTTCACTATCTACAGTTTTTAAGAAATAAAAGTCTTCTTTTTTATTCGTTCCATTGTAGGAGCATATAGTTTGATTGATAAAAGTATCCTCCTTTGGCTACTTTAGATCTTAGAATTAGAATTCTCTAAATTTTGATATTGATAAATTATGTTAGAAATTTTAATATTTAGATTGTTAATTTTTTTGTTTTGGTTCTTGTAGTCTCTTTAAATTGTTTTATGAGAGAATTTGTGGTGCAATGAAATGTTATTATGACATTTTGTTATAGGTATATGTATTTTTTATTATCTTTTATAAAATTGCACGTATTTTATGATATACGATACGAATGCAATATACTATTTTTAAAAAACGATATACCTTTCGATACACGTTTTGACAACCTTGCTTGTGAGTGCTGATGTGTTGGTCATTGATATAATTTGCTTACTATTTATTTGGAGTATTTTAACAATGAAATTTTAAAATGCCAATATTTCAATAACACTTATTTTGTCCTACACTTGTGTGTTAATATGTGTTGTTAACACCTTCACAGCATCTTCTTGTCTTAATAGACTTTCTTTGGAGCCAAGTGATAGAACTAATTTTATGTATCTTTAGTCCATTAGCAGAAGTTTGCTCCGTAAAGGAACTATGTTTTCTGACTCTAGTAACATGCTTTCCTGTTGCAGAACAAAAAGAATCTTTGGGATTTCTCTCTCTCTAATTATCATTAACATGGCCGCTATTATGGAGCGTGCTGATGAAAATCTCCTTCCATCTGTTTACAAAGAAGTCAGTGAAGCTTTTAGTGCTGGGCCATCTGATCTTGGATATCTCACATTCATACGGAACCTCGTGCAGGGAGTTGCATCACCCTTGGCTGGTGTTCTAGTTATTAACTACGATCGCCCTACTGTTCTTGCAATGGGCACCCTGTGCTGGGCCTTCTCAACAGCTGCAGTAGGTGTGAGCCAGTATTTTGGGCAAGTTGCATTCTGGAGAGCAGTAAATGGCTTGGGACTGGCAATTGTAATACCGGCTCTTCAGTCTTACATTGCTGATAGCTATAAAGCTGGTATGAGGGGGATTGGATTTGGGTTTCTAAATCTTATTGGTTCAGTGGGTGGCATAGGAGGTGGAGTTCTTGCTACAGTTATGGCTGGTTATGACTTTTGGGGCATACCTGGATGGCGTTGTGCCTTCATTATGATGGCAACACTGAGTTCCTTAATTGCTGTCCTTGTGTATTTGTTTGTTGTTGACCCAAGAGACATAATTGATCGTGGTATCGGTGACAGTTCTGAAAAGTATGAATGATATGATTGAATTTCTTAGATTTGCCAATAGTTTTCTAGAAATTGTTTGCCAAAATCTTTACCGAATTTCAAAAAACCAAATTAATGTGGACAGTTGGATTGGTGGATCTCATCAGTGAAAGTTAATGAGACTCATTGATCCAACCATCGACATTGATTTGGTAAGGAAAATTTGGTAAACTTTTTGTGAAGTCTGGCAGTTTTGATAATTTTCAATGCCTAACTGCCATTTGCATTCATTCACCTTTATTTTCTTTTCAACAGTACAAATGATGAGACTTTAAAAACTTATCCTGGTCAGATCTTTCAGCTTCTTGAAATGCTTGGTAACTGAGGTGTTTCATGTTGTAGGAATGATTTGCTAGATAAGGGCAATGGCAGTACGGCATCAGTTTGGGTGGAGTCCTGGACGGCCATGAAAGCTGTCATGAGAGTGCGAACTTTTCAGTTCATTGTCTTGCAGGGTGTCGTTGGTTCACTGCCTTGGACGGCCATCGTGTTCTTCACATTTTGGTTCGAACTAATGGGTAAGCATGCGCACAGATCCCAATATGATGCTCTTTGATGAGTAGTCTCAGAATATATTAAATTGAAGATGATTACCTACAGCTACATTAGAATCAAATTTCAGCAATATAATTCCTCAGATGAGTAGGGAAAAAGTTGATTTTCTTGCAGGATGCATTATTTATATTGGTCCATTTTGCAGGTTTTGATCACAACAGTACGGCTGCTATCAATAGTCTTTTTGGCGCTGGATGTGCCATGGGATCCTTTATTGGTGGATTAGTAGCAGATCGAATGTCACTCATCTACCCTCATTCAGGACGTATCATGTGTGCACAGTTCAGTGCTTTCATGGGCATCCCATTCTCATGGTTCCTTCTTAGAGTAATCCCACAGTCAGTGAGCAGCTATTTAACATTTGCTGCCACCATCTTTATAATGGGCCTTACCATCAGCTGGTGTGCCACTGCAGCAAATGGTCCCATGTTCGCTGAGGTTGTACCTGCCAAACATCGGACCATGATCTATGCATTTGATCGTGCTTTCGAAGTATCCTTCTCTTCTTTCGCTGCTCCTCTTGTTGGAATTCTTTCGGAGAGAATATATGGCTATGATCCAAAGACTGTTGATCCAGTTTCAGGGTCTGCACGAGAGGCCTTAGCATTATCAAGAGGGCTTTTTGCCATGATGGCAGTTCCATTTGGGTTGTGTTGCTTGTTTTACACGCCTTTGTATCGGTATTTCAAGCGAGATCGCGAGAACACCAGACTAGCCAGTTTAAAAGAAGCAGATATGATATGATACACATTATTTCCGGTGTAGGCATATTATTTGATTTTAGACATTGGGGTTTCATTTTCTTCAGATATCAGTGTACTCACAGAGCTGTCAGCCACATTGTATACCGACAGGTTTTCAAGCATGTTTTTTGGGTTTTCTTTCAGGTAGATCCTCTTTTTGCCTTGACATAGAAAACTTTGTATCAGAAGCCTTTTCAATTGCTTTGAAACTAGTTTTGTGACTCATTCTTTGATGGTGATGCAACTCCAAGTGTTGCTTCAAAAGTTTTTTTTTTTCCCCTCTTTTTGAACTGGTGTTACTTCAAAATCAAGTATCACAACTGTATATTATTGAGGTGGCACCGAATATAAGTGAATTGATTGGGAAAAGGACCTCCTTAGGACATGCATTGGCATTGATTTTCCCATACCCCACTACTTGTATAGGCATGCCTCAGTTTATGTGCAATCATGCATTCCACAGGCACCAGCCGAACAATACACCCCTAATACGTTCAAAAAGACACCAAGAAGCTATATAAACTCTGCTTTGCATATAGCTCCATATAACCAGACTCAATTGAAATACTGACCTGAGCATTGGAGAATTACAACGGACACCAGCTGCTGATTCTTTGACATATTTCATTCTTTCAGGCCATGAATGGATGACACCGAGTTACTCTGGCTAATCGGTTTCATACATCAACAATATCCTTGCATCAAACATCTACTCTTATGCCGCTCTACACCTTTCCTTCCAATAGATTGAAATTTTTTTCCATGCATTTCCTTACCATGATAATGCCAGAAAGTAACAGATTTATGTCCACCTATATGTTATTTGGACAGAGCTGATCGGATATAAAAGCACAGCCAAAGGGCTGCAGGACACACAACTGGGTTGAGGGGTGGGAAAGAAATTAGAAAAAAAAAAAAAAAAATCCATTTTCTATAACAAAATGAAAAGCCAAAATTGCCACTGACATTAGAAAGTTTAAAAAATTACTTCAATATGTGACTTGGTTACTCAGCTCTCACAGTAGTAATGCCCTGACTACGTTTAGACATTTAGAAGAGTAAACTGTAACGCGCAAGTAAGATTTACAACCAGAGCAGTCAAGCAATATGATGCGAGTTCATCAACATTTGTGCCACTATGAAACAGTTATATTGTAATGTGCAAATAAATAATAAGATTTACAACCAGGCAGTCAGAGCGATATGATGTAAGTTCATCAACATTAGTGCCACAATGAAATAGCTATAGACAACAAGGGGAAGTGTGTGATGTAAATAAGGAGAAGAAATGGGGATGAGAAGAAGAGAAGGGGGATGAGAAAATCAGGAGAAGAGAGAGAAGGGGGATGAGAAAATAATACCAATAATCAATAATTAATCAAAAGTGTCTCAAACAAACACCTCACCCTTCTATATATAGAGGGAATACAAACCCTAAATTGACAAATAAGTCCCAAAAATAGTCAAAATGACAAATTAGTCCTAAAAAGTAAAATGACAAATAACTCCTAATCTCAGCTTCTATGCTTACTATAACAAAAAACAATCCGATTTCCATCAATATGTCTGCCCAGCATATCAACTGGCAATAGCTTTTCTCACATTGTAGTGAAATCTCTTCGGGTCATCTCTTAACACTGCAGCTGCATCATGATTGAGAGGATCCTCATGATTTGGTTCCTGCACAAGTGATGGAAAGAGTTGCAGATATCATATTGTAAAAATGCACAAAAAAATCACGAGGTACTAGTGTTGATGAATGCAATAATACCATAAAAAGATGGTACAATCCATAAACAATTGTATTTATGTTGAGCACGGGTTTCCAATCTTCTCGTAATATGTTGAGGCAGACATTCCCTTCCAAGTCAATATTAGGATGATAAACCTGTGTTATATCAACAAAGATGAAAGACCATCTCACCACAAACTAACCAGCATAAAAAAATGAAACTACAACCATTGACAAAGCTACATAGGCTCCAACAAGCAAGAATTTAAGATCTACCTTGGTCTTGCACTTGACCTTTGGTGCTTCGTGTGGATAGATAGGGGAAACTTGGAAGGAAAATAAAAACTTGCCTCCCCTGTAGGATCCTTCGTCAGGTCGAATGGACACCTCAAAGTTCATCAGATCATCCTTGCCATTTCGAAATGCTATGGTACATGATTTGGGTAGGTTCAGCTCGCTGATGTCTACAAAAGGTAAAACATCCAATAAGGCATCTGTAACTCAAATGTGAAAAAATAAAAATAGAAAATTGTAAAATTAAAAAGAGTATATGCAACAACTATATTGGAAAAATCAGATAGATCAAGGCAGGATTATGGTTTCCACAATTAGACAAGAGCAGGGAATATGGCTAACTAATCTCAGGATGGCAAGTTGTCCAAGATAACCAGATACATAGCAATATCTCCTCTAAAACGGACAAAAAGCATGTCTATCATTCTTTCTAGCCCCTGGTTCTGAGCTTAAGACAGGAAAGCAGACTAACAGAAATCTGAAATAACTATTTAGACGGTAAATGAAAGGGCATGAGAAAATGACACTGTAATACAGCAATAATTATCAATGATTACACATATTGTTCTCTGACTCTTTTATAGGGCAAAGATGGTTCCACAAAATAATGCATCCTTTCCTGCTTATTGGTCTTGTAAGGGAAGTTGGGGGTTTTATTACCTCTCCTACTGTCACTCCAATGGGCAAGACATTAGAAGCCCAAGCACTTATTTGTTGAGAAGAACCGAGCAGAATTTGGAACTCTATCGAAAGGGTACCCTAAATCAACTATTAAATCGGTAATGGACAACAGTGACTGCGATAAGCAAAATGTCGGTATCTGACATGCAACTGACTGCACTGCTATTTGAACATGTCCAACACATAGGAACATGCCTTTTACAAAGTGCAGTCACTTTGATACAAAGTATTCTATATCATTCGCCAAGGGTTAATGTTGTATGTGCTTCAGAATACCATCTCTGATACCTAGCTGACACTGGTGGGACGCTCTTCTAATAGTTATCACCACATGCCGAACATAGTGCGAGGCGACAGTGTATACATATAATTAACAAATTATATTTGTTGTCCATGCATAACTACTTGAAAGAGATATACACAGAAAAACCTTTATGAAGACGCAATTCCCCAGCAGTCTGNATAGGTCCAATTATACTCACGGTCTCTAAAGTACGAGATTTACTTTATTTTGATTTATAATATTTTAATTATATTATTTTATTTTTTAAAGAATTGAATATATTTTTATGTGGTCTTTCTTTTCAAACAGACAACGTCCAAATTATTAACGATTTTTTTATTATAAACTTGTCATGTAATATTTAAATATGGGTATAAAATAATTTGGTTAGCTTTTAATCAAAAATATATAATATGAGTAGTCTTTGACCGAAATTTAGATAGTTCATAATCAAAATCGTATAATTTGAGTAAATCTTTNGGAAAAAAAACACTCCAAGGCAAAAATTACAGAAGTCTTGAATACGATTGTATGCAACAACAATAGTGAAATTTGATTAGGTACAAGAATACATTCCTGAGACTACTGAAAATAAAATATTCAGATAGCAAGAAAGGATTCAGAATGAATAACTAATCAAAGGAAATGTTATTTAGATGTAATTTGGGGACCTAATTCAATCTAACCATTANTATTAACAATATGGATATTGTCAGCTCGAAAGATCACATAGAAATATGTTCAATATTTTAAGAATTAAAATAATACAATTGAAATATTAATGACTAAAATGAAATTAACTCTAACCTTATATTTAAAAACGAAAGAGGGTGAGATTGTGCCATTGTGGTTTGGTGACGTTTTGCTTTCCCAAAATTTAAATTTTTGTTAACAAAAAATATATTTGACGAATTTATTTTTAACAAAGTAGAAAACAAAAAATAAAATCTATTCTATATATAAATTTATTTTNGTCAATCTTAACCATGCACGCAGAGAGGCTGATCCTCTGGTTAATCAATTCCTATAATAGACTTGTCTGTTGCATTTCTTCATGCTTAGGTTCAAACCATATATAGGACCACATGGTTAAAAAAAAGGCTGCAGAGAATTGAGAATATACAGACACTGCTCTGCTACAAAACCAAGAATACTTGTTACAAAAGAAGGAAATTATCACTTATCTGTTCCGATTATTCTCAATTATCCATAGCCTTTATTCCATATGTTTTGGGATTCACTTCATGAGGGAGAGGTTCTCTCCTGCCTTTTAACATTCTTCGTGCTCATCCATGCAACCACAAGTTCAACTAGGAACCAAACTAGTTGTGTCTAACTAAAGCTCCTCAGTCATCTTTATGAGAAACATGGTCTTTTCATTCACCAAGGATAACTAAATTGGTGGAAAGAGGGGAGAGTTAGGGGGAATCATCTTCAAAGCAATTTTTTTTCTTCTAAAGAACACACAAATTTCACCGCATCCCTTCAACACAGCCTTTCTTCTTGCTCTTAATATTATTATAAAACCATGTCTCTAAGTCCATTCTACATTAAATACTACCAGCCCCTCTAGACAATTGGAGTTCCTGAATCACTTCTATAATTCATAGCCTCCAGTCGATTAAAGCCTTACTAGGATGAAGCCAATTGGGTGGTCCTTTAATGTAGAATCGCCAAAAGCATGCACATCTTAAACTAAACAGTAGATATATAAAACAATCCCAAAAGGAAGGCAGCAATAGACAAGAATAATTTTTGATATGTTCTTGATTGATGACAAATACAAATTAAAAACTAACATCACGACTGGATATACCGATGATTAGAAATAAAGAATACCTCTTCAACCAAAAAATAAGAAGTATTAGCAGGAAAGTGATTGAAGAAAAGATTTGATGCTAACCAGTCTGAAGAAAATCCTAGGATAACAGAAAACGCATAATCAAGGTAAGCGTGGGACAGTCATAGAAATAAATTTGAGTCGAGGTATATAAAGCTAGGGGACGCCAAAAGAATAGCTGGACCGACTTCGCGTAGTGAACCGAAAAACTCTCTCCAAGGTCTAACGTTTTTCACGTGACGAAAAAGGTCCAATTACACTCACGGTCTCTAAAGTGAGATTTATTTTATTTTAATTTATAATATTTTAATTATATTATTTTATTTTTTAAAGAATTGAATATATTTTTATGTGGTATTTCAAACATACAACATCCAAATTATTAACGATTTTTTTATTATAAACTTGTCACGTAATATTTAAATTTGAGTATAAAATAATTTGGTTAACTTTTAATCAAAAATATATAATATGAGTAGTTTTTGACCGAAATTTAGATAGTTCATAATCAAAATCGTATAATTTGAGTAAATCTTTGACCAAAATTTGGCAAAGAGTTATCAAAATGATTGTTTTGCCTATATTTAGGTATTACGTGACAAATTTATAATTAAAAATTGTTAACAATATGGATATTATCAGCTCGAAAGATCACATAGAAATATGTTCAATATTTTAAGGATTAAAATAATACAATTGAAATATTAACGACTAAAATGAAATTAACTCTATATTTAACTAACCTTATATTTAAAAACGAAAGAGGGTGAGATTGTGCCATTGTGGTTTGGTGACGTTTTGCTTTCCCAAAATTTAAATTTTTGTTAACAAAAAATATATTTGACGAATTTATTTTTAACAAAGTAGAAAACAAAAAATAAAATCTATTCTATATATAAATTTATTTTTTCTTCTATAATAATACCCATGACAAATCCAAAACTTAAACCATCCCTCATAATTGTCAGCTTTCTTTCCACCTCTGTCCATCACAACAGCAACACGGCCTCTTCCATATTCTCCCTTTCTCTCTCTCTGTTCTGCCCTTCAGTCCCTATCACTCTCCCACTCAGCATCAACAAAAATCTTTTTTCTGAATTTAAAACGACTACATTTTATTGAATCACATAACTAATATAATACCAGGGAGGTTGGAGGATAAAAAGNCCTTTTTCTTAATTTAAAACGACAACATTTTATTGAATCACATAACTAATATAATACCAGGGAGGTTGGAGGATAAAAAGTCTAGGCACTCCTCCCTCCAAAAGATTGAGCAATTACACTGTANCAGCCCAGGGTAAGAGTTTCCCTCCACCGCGCATTGCGGAGAGTCAGATGTAGACAATCTTAATCATGCACGCAGAGAGGCTGATCCTCTGGTTAATCAATTCCTATAATGGACTTGTCTGTTGCATTTCTTCATGCTTAGGTTCAAACCATATATAGGACCACATGGTTAAAAAAAAGGCTGCAGAGAATTGAGAATATACAGACACTGCTCTGCTACAAAACCAAGAATACTTGTTACAAAAGAAGGAAATTATCACTTATCTGTTCCAATTATTCTCAATTATCCATAGCCTTTATTCCATATGTTTTGGGATTCACTTCATGAGGGAGAGGTTCTCTCCTGCCTTTTAACATTCTTCGTGCTCATCCATGCAACCACAAGTTCAACTAGGAACCAAACTAGTTGTGTCTAACTAAAGCTCCTCAGTCATCTTTATGAGAAACATGGTCTTTTCATTCACCAAGGATAACTAAATTGGTGGAAAGAGGGGAGAGGTAGGGGGAATCATCTTCAAAGCAATTTTTTTTCTTCTAAAGAACACACAAATTTCACCGCATCCCTTCAACACAGCCTTTCTTCTTGCTCTTAATATTATTATAAAACCATGTCTCTAAGCCCATTCTACATTAAATACTACCAGCCCCTCTAGACAATTGGAGTTCATGAATCACTTCTATAATTCATAGCCTCCAGTCGATTAAAGCCTTACTAGGATGAAGCCAATTGGGTGGTCCTTTAATGTAGAATCACCAAAATCATGCACATCTTAAACTAAACAGTAGATATATAAAACAATCCCAAAAGGAAGGCAGCAATAGACAAGAATAATTTTTGATATGTTCTTGATTGATGACAAATACAAATTAAAAACTAACATCACGACTGGATATACCGATGATTAGAAATAAAGAATACCTCTTCAACCAAAAAATAAGAAGTATTAGCAGGAAAGTGATTGAAGAAAAGATTTGATGCTAACCAGCTGAAGAAAATCCTAGGATAACAGAAAACGCATAATCAAGGTAAGCG